GACGTAAATGAAAATCCTACTGTAGATATATCTGTTCGATCGATTTCAAAGACAAGATTCGTGAAAAGTTCGCATATTCTATCCACAGTACTTGAAGAATGTATTTTGTTTCAATGATGTGAGTAGTGCTGGTGTTGAAAAAATGAAGCATCTTAATGAAAAGTAGCAAATGTCACCAATATGATGCTCTCCTTCTACTCTATTGAATCCCACTCAATGTGTGAATGCTCAATATTGTAATAGTTGGTTTTCCATGTAATTTTTCTGCGATTTATGGTTGAGTTTGGAGAGGCCTAAAACTGACGCGTTGCTTCTTGTAGAAAAGCAGAAAGGGTATTTTACCAGGAGTCCATATTTAGATTTATAATTTTCCAGGTGTATTAGACCATCAGTGAATTCTTGCTTTGAGAAGGAGTATAGTTTCTTCCATTGGGAACTATGTACATCAAACGTTGAAAGCTTGGAAGCGATCTGACTTTTGAGATTCGATCGATATGTCTTTTGCAGTAGTTATATAACCGCATTATTGGAGAAAGAACATTTTTATGGCAGTCTCAGGTAAAGATATACTGTCAAATACGTAAGTTTTCAATTTCTTAAAGTAACACACTCTCTCTTTAGGCCATAAAGTTTCAAAACTACTCATGTAAAAGGTGAGACATAGTTTCTTTCGCGATGACTTGGCTATTAATTAGAAAAAACTAAAGCTATTACAAAGGGAACTCTTTCTAGCTGATTTTTCTACATACTCCTGCACGTGTTGTACAAATGTCTAATAGAGTCATGTTTTTGCTGAAAATCATCATTCATCATAGCAGATATTACATCATAATAATTAAAGGTCGATACTATAAAGCATTAGAAAAATTCACCAAAAACTGTAGAATGTATTATATTGATATTTTTGAGTACAGCATGTTGACACGCAAATGTCTCTATAGTTGCATGGTGGTACTCAGTGGCAGAATCCTCGAAACACAATATATATTTTTACTCTATTTACTTATAAAATTACGAGGCAGGATATGGTTGGTGTTAAGATTCTACGAGAGTGTCTTACAACTAGCCGAAAACATTAAGCACATAATGAGGGGATGGCATGTCCACCAAATCGTCCTCAATAAAAGTTTCAATTTGTCTAGTATGAAAGAGGAAGTGAGAATCTATACTAGAAATTAGAACTCAATAGACTATACTACATATACAAGAAGTGTTGGTGTTTGATTTCGTATCAGAAGCTTACTCTTATTGTTTTCCTCATCGATGCGTGTATAAGAAAACTGATGAATAACACTTTAGTAGCGACTTACTAGATTTGGCAGAACACTCTATTTCGCTCATCAGTTCTGAAGAAATTTCATATCCAGATTGAAGAAGAAACAGATTTCCGATTTGTTCCATAGTTGGATCAGAATTTGTAGTTCCTTCATCTCCATTAAAGACGTGTAAGAGTAGATTCTGGTAGAACTGACCAATTCCGAGTAGTTTATCTTTGCTACACCAATGAGATGAACACTGAAGAGTACAGTAAGCCATATGTTCTAAGTCATTGTATGTAACTGCTAGAGAGCAGTCATTGGGCACCATGCTATTTCGATATAACCAAGTATGGTGAGAAGACAAAGACAATATCGCGTCATTTGTTTGTATACTTTTTGTTGCGTTGTCAAATGAGTCAAGAGAGACTAAATGGTAAGAAAAATGGAACGGAATGGTTGTTGAACACAGATCCTTATTTTTAGCAACAATTAGCTGGTACGGAAGTTGAAAATGATTGAAAATGTCGGCACTAAGTTGCCAAATCTGCTGCACTAGGCTGGAAAAACAACTATTTGCATTGATTTTAATACGATATGGTATTAAATTGTCAAACATTCCAACCATTGATTTTATATCGTCTATCAGGCGATTTTGTGTAGAGCAGGTAACGCATAAATCATTGATACTGGCATCATTTAACTCGTAAATGAAAAGAAAGAAACAAGCTAATTGTAGGTGAAACATGGATACCTTATGCGATGTCGCAAATTCAGTTTGAGCCTTGACAAGGCTCGAATCTAAAACAAACGTCGTTGTATATTTTTCTTGAGAACGCATATGAACACTTGATTTTGAAGCAATAGGTAACGGATATCTCTCACGTAAGCAATAGTCATTTATCAATTTTGACCAAAATTCGAGAGCTCTTTGTATTTCTTCGTTTTCAGACATGTTAGCAAATAACATACTTTCATATAAGGTAAAATCAATATACTGTAAATTCGTTGTATCAGTGCTAAGTCGATCGTATGCTTTTCTAAATGCACTTATGAACGGACTAACAGAATTACAATCGAAGGCGATCCGGTGAAATACAAATAATATTAAGTCGTTCGTTTTGAGATACTGCTCATCGTCGTTGAAACTTGTTTGGATCAGATGACAACGAACCACGAGCCCACAATCCACTTTGGCGAAAGGGTGAGTGACTTCGTGTTCAAGTAAATTATCAAGCATGTCCGAAGTGAGAGTAGATTTCTTTGTTACTTGAAATGATAAACAGCTATCATTGGATATAATAGGTTTTACGCTTTGTACCAGATCATTGCGACGTTCGTCGAAATAAATGGCTGTTCTAAGCACTGTAATATGTTCGAGAATGGCAATAACTGCCGAGTAAATACGCTCGATTGGCATTACCCCTTCTTTCAGCACCAAAGGTATAAGCACATTGTTTGTGGTGGATGTAGACGCCGCATCACAGCTTAGATTTTCTTCTTGCCAGATGCGCTTTTGAGCAAATGACGCAATGCTCTCGGAACATCCGCTAAATGTAATAGTACATGGCGACGACCGAAACATGCTTTCTTATTTTTAATTGTTCTATTTAAGAGAACAGTTACATCAGGATTTAAACTAGAAAGAATAACAAAAGTGATTTATATCTGATCTTTTGAATATACTTAGATGACATCAAAAGCAAAACGAACATATCCCTAGAACTTCCTAAAAACATAATTGTTCCAACCGTAATAGCTAACAGAAAAGGTCATGATCTATAGTGTTTCTCCTCGTCGATGATTTTTTCCAGAGCTTTGGTATATACAACGTTGTATGGACACCTGTCTATAGTCTGTTCTGTTTTCGTGAATTTCTTGCAACTTTTTAAGCTTTTTACTAGTACAAGATGGTCCATTAATAGTGCACGTTAGACGACAAGTCGAATAATTCCCTTGCTATTCCAGCAAACAAACTAATTCTTATACTAGCGACAGAAAAATGCACAAGTTTTTTATTCTAAGGATGTAATTACTTTAACGTAGATTTTATTGGATTTTTCCAAAAACGAATGCACAAAATATCAGATTAAATGTTGAAATTGTTTTTATTGCTTACGTACATGGTCACACAACATGAATTATTGGTAGTATCACGATACTCATTACCTTTTTCTCAATACGCAGCTGTTAGTGTTTGTGATGAATCACCTGACGTTCAACAAAAGTTTAATTTGACTACTCTAGTCTAACCGGCTCAGGTCATCTGCCAGAGAAGTAGAAGTGTGGGTTCGAGTCTCACAAATGTTGCCTGTTTCCAGTTTCTCCTTCTCTCCCTGATATGTGTTTCGTTGTCCTAGTATGTGGCTGACAATGTTGTACCTTTTTAGCACTTTATTTCGTCTTCACCTTATGAAGACTTCAATTTACTTCTACGGTCAACTGTCAGATGACTGCAAGCAGATCACTATTTATCAATAGATTCTTCCTCTCCTAGGTATGAAATGTAACAGAATACCAACATGTTGATTTTGGATAACACTCAATCTTAATGACACAAGAACTTGGAAAAACAGGATTATCTTTCCTGAATAGGAGCGCCATCGCTTACTGTTAGCTCTAGTTCAAATCGACAAACCAAATCATACTTTGATAATCTATTCACCGCTTGCTGTGTTGATGTAAGATATATACTTAAAATACTACAAAATTCACATCTTTTCCCCAGATCATTTCACGAAACCAGCGAGATTCTTAAAGGGTCCATATCATTTGCAACACATCAAAATATTTTTATTCAGATTACTATAAAAATTAATTAGAATATGAAAATCTTACTAGATGCATGAGTGTGTCCAGCAAAAAAATGTAGATTTCGTAGTATTTTAGATAATTTCTTAGTATTCTGGGTATGTGTCTGCCATGAACACGGTAAAATATCAGTAGATGGCCAACATATTATTTGGGTGGTTAATTTGAACCAGAGCTCACAGTTAGTCATGAAACTTCGATCAAGGAAAGATAATTACTTTTTTCAAGGTTTTTTTATTGATACCTTCACGATCGAATGCTACTACTAAGGAACGTTCCTGTACTCTTTTCTTCTAGTAAAATGAATAATCGCTGAGGAGGACAAATAGCAATTAGTGCCTACTGACATCAAATGCTCAGGCAAATGAAAAGGGAATCATTTCAATCGTGAAATTGTCTTCGATGCTGACAAGAGAAATCATTCTTCCCGTCAATAATAACTTTCTCATTTCTTGACAAGGCATATAATTTCATTAAATGCATATAGTTAACTATCAAATCGCTTGATTGACTATGTCTGATCGGTTTAAGATGAATCCTAATACGACATAAGTAAAATATTGCCATCGAGCAATATTCCATACTAAAGGGTCTATATCGGATCTGTCGAAGAATATCTTAACAAATATATATTTTGTATGGGCTATGTCACGCATCCCGTGTTTTACATGTATTACCTTATTTCTTCCATGAAATGAACCGATATTCACTGCGAGATGTTAACATGTCGTACAGAATGCACCCTTTTCTCCTTCAAAGTATATCGTCTCACTATTCTTCATACGCATATTTCGCATCGGATACTGTATCTCTCGCCAGGCATCAGATCATCTCTTACCACATATCATAAATAACGCTCGTCGAGGCAGACTCGCATTACCCTCGACTGAATGAATCACACTTGGGATAGAACTTGTCCTTAAAAATGACATCTTGACAATGATCCTCATCTTTTTCAAAACTGAACAAAGNTATTAACGATTATCCCAATGCATTCGGTGGTAATAAGAAAGAGTCATATGATGTAGAACAGTTAATACGCCAGTATCATCAAGAAACATCTATATGGTGGTATACAAACCCACAGATTGCCTTGTATTCTATGCTAAATAGTGCTTTACGATTACTAGATGGAGATGTGATTGTACGAATGGGATTTTTCATTAATGATTTACATCGACACATCGAACAACTACACAAACAACAATTTGGTACAAATCATGGTGGTGAAATCTTTACATGTTATCGTGGTCAAGGTCTATCAGAAAGAGATTTTGATGAAATGGTGAAATCAAAAGGTGGATTAATGTCATTTAATAACTTTTTATCCACAAGTAAGGAACGTGATGTCTCGTTATTCTTCCCCAAAAGTAATCTGGGTAATCCAAATTTAATTGCGATTCTTTTTGCTATAAAAATCGATCCAAGACAATCAACAGTGTCATTCGCTTCAATTCGTGGTATAAGTGCTATTCCAGAAGAAAACGAAATATTATTCTCAATGCATAGTGTATTTCGTATTGATGATATCAAAGTAATAAGTGAGAATGAAAGACTCTTTGAAGTGAATTTAACATTAACTAGCGACAACGACGAACCACTAAATAAACTTACTGAACAGATTCGGAAAGAAAGCTGTCCAGAGGCGGATGAATGGGATAGATTGAGTTCAGTACTAATTAAACTGAAGCAGAACAATAAGGCTACAGAGATTCACGAAATGTTGCTTCAGAGAAGCATGAAGAACAGTGAGAAGGCATTAATCTATAATCGGCTTAGTTTAATCAAAAGTAATCTAGGGAAATATAAAGAGGCAATCAGATACTCTAAAAAAGCTCTCGAAATTCAACAACCATCACTTCCTGCAAATCATTCTCACTTGGCTTCATCTTACAACAACATCGGTTTGGCGTATTATTTGATGGCTGACTATTCAGAAGCACTTTCATATTATGAAAAGGCCATTAAAATCAAAGAACAATTACCTTCTGAAAATCATTCAAGTTTGGCTACATCTTACAACAACATCGGTTTGGTGTGCTATAAGATGGCTGACTATCGAAAAGCACTTGAATATTATGGAAAAGCCCTTGAAATTCAACAACAACATCTACCAAACCATCCTCATTTGGCTTCAACTTACAACAGCATTGGTTTGGTGTATTGGGGCATGGGTGACTATCCAAATGCACTTGAATATTATAGAAAAGCCCTTCTAATTGGTAAAGAATCACTTCCTTCAAATCATCCTGATTTGGCTATGTATTACAACAACATCGGTTCAGTGTATTACAATATGGGTGACTACTCCAAAGCGCTTGAATATAATCAAAAAGCCCTTATAATTCGACAACAATCACTTCCTCCAAATCATCCTGATTTGGCTATGTCATACAACAACATCGGTGTGATGTACAAAAACATGAATGGCTATTCCGAAGCACTCCTATATTATAAATAACGCTCGCCGAGGCAGACTCGCATTACCCTCGACTGAATGAATCACACTTGGGATAGAACTTGTCCTTAAAAATGACATCTTGACAATGATCCTCATCTTTTTCAAAACTGAACAAAGAACTGTCATCGTTCTTGTTATTCATGTAATGTTGATTATTCATGATCATTGTTCACATGAACCGGCAGTCTGTTATGAATAGCTACTATGATCTTTGCATCTTTTAGTAATGCGAAAATCGAAATATCAATTCAACTATTTAATTATTTGTTCAGTTTTTCAATTATATGAAGATTCGATTACGTTCACCTCTCTTCTGTTCACCATCATTGAAGTTATGTCTCCTTCGGACCCTTCTGCTCACTCGCAAGTATTCGAATGCTCGAATAATTGAACGAAGAATTAGACAGTTGAATTTAAATTTCAAATTATACATGTCTGGCATTGTGACAATCTATGATTGTATACTTTTCCTCTTTGTCATAAACAACAACTAATATGCGATGCAAAAGTCTTTGGATAAAATGTTCGACTCTATTATACCACACTGGAAACTTCTAAACTAGTCAATTTCTTTTTGTTTGAAAGAGCAAATTCTGAGCTACAAATTCTATATAAGAGATATTTTTTCGAGCAAATTTGATAAGGAAAAAAATCACAAAACTGAGAGTCACTAAAAAATATCTTGCAACTTCAGCATTTCAGACCGGTGTCTTAATGTATTTTGTTAGATTTTTCAGCGAGAACGAAATTGGTCATTCCGTTTAACTGTAGTGATTTTTGTAGCGCAGAAAAAGCTCTTTTTGATGGCATCTTGAGAATTAAGTTTCTATGTAGTTATCATACTAAAATATAGCTTTTTCTAATAGTTACGATATTAGTTGTACAGTTCTACCACTAACCTATAGTTAAGAGAGCAAAAAGAAGCATTTTTTAATCAGTTTTTCTTCTTAGTATCCTTAAAGTGACGTACTTAAAAAAAAACAAAGCACAAAAAGTTCAGTTTATGTTTAAAATGTTAATTACTCGTATTTTTGAAATCCAATAATTTTTTTCAAAATACTCATTTTGTTTTACAAAAGTTGCAGTTTGGAAACAGTTTTGTTTCAATCACAATGAATGAGCCTATGAAAGTTTACCGAAACTAATATCGAACGAGCACTTAATGCGCTACATTTTGCAATATTTTCTTTTTTCACAATACAATTTGTATGGCATAAAATAATTCGAAAATATAAATTTTTCAAGCTGCAAAATAGTTGCAAGATATTTTTTAGTGACTCTCAGTTTTGTGATTTTTTTCCTTATCAAACTTGCTCGAAAAAAATATCTCTTATATAGAATTTGTAGCTCAGAATTTGCTCTTTCAAACAAAAAAAAATTGACTAGTTTAGAAGTTTCCAATGTGGTATAATAGAGTCGAACATTTTGTCCGAAGACTTTTGCATCGCATATTATCTGCTTTCTTGCCTCCTGTATAAACTCAGATTTTAGCCTCTTAGTTTATATATCCAACATAGAAATATTGATAGATTTATCTCTCCTTGTGGTGTAACATTCATATAAAACTGATATTAGAAACGCACTGTTATGTATGAGATAATCGTAATTTCTTTCTTTCTCTCTCAAGAAGAGACTATGATCGCATGATTCTCTGGTTGACTACCTCGGTGAATGACAGCGATAGATCTTAGATATTATTTATAAAGCTTGATATTTTTCTCTAGTGTAATACTGTATGTACGAAGGACAATGAAAGGACGAGTAACATACAGTGGAGATACGACTTCTTTCGATTGAATACAGGATACACTTATCATATATTATCTCTTGTATCAGAGATCAGATCATCACAAGCATCTTCAAACTAGAATCCAGCATCGCGATCAAAAACTGTTTCTGGTTCGAAACGCAAACTACTGCACTATTTCGTTAATTCGAATACAACATAATCTGTTAATTATGCGTTTTGTAGAGAATCGTTTTCTCTATCGAATTGTTTGGTTTAAACGATACTAAAACACTTTCTCTTGTACTAATTCATCAAAGTGATTGGGCGGATTTCGCTCCTGTACAGCTCGCTCAAAACTAATTCTTCGGTTTCTTTATTAAATCAGTCTAAAAGAAGGTGGTATGTGTAACGATAATGATATCGTTCATCTCTTTCTGTTCTTTATTCTCTCACCTCTATATCATACTATCTCCGGGTCATATCTCTCTTTCCTCTTCTCTATATAAGCGCGTGTCTTATTGTGAAAGAGATACATTCTGGTCATGTAGAGTAGTCAATAAACATCGATACCGTGAGAAGCGGTCAGCTACTCAACCAGTTTGTCGTTACAGTATGGTATAGTTTAAAGTATACAGTTTGGAAGGGAAAACAATTCTGTACAGAATACACATTGAACAGATTATCCTACATTCAAAACAACAAAATAGTGCAGAAATGTTCGATCACGCTGCCGCATTATACTTCATACCCGTTCTTCTTTTCCTGATAAAATCAAGAATTCAATGACAACAAGATGAGTATTCATAGAGATCTCAAATCCAAAGGTGTCAAAATGTTTCTAAGTGACAATTAGAAAGCATCACCGGGAGCAGCTCGTCGTTCGTCGGCGCCCCGATGGGGCGCCACTCACGACTCGCCGCTCCACACCCTCCCAACTTTGAGTCCTATTGCTCTATTGCATAGTTTTCACCGAAATTAGCATCAATCACATGAAAATAACATTAGGTCACAAAGTGCCTGCTTAGTCTAGGACGATCAATTTTTTTATCTATATTCTTACAGTTGAGAATGAATTGCAGTTACTCTTAATAGTCAGCTGGTCGCTCGCGACGTCGAGTCATCCGAAAAATGATTTGAACAGTATTCTTGCCTTCACTGATCGTATTTTCATCTTTATAGAAGCTCACAAAAAATAGATTTATATTCTTCGTCAACTTATCTGTAAGGTCAAAAAGAAGAGCCATGAAATTTTATTGCTTGCAAAAAGATTTTGAAGGAGAACTTCTTTTGTACCACAAATTATCCGTCTTGTTCCCCAAACAACACTCAACTTGAAACTGTTATCAACCTTCTTGTTCGTTCGATGTTCCTGGGTTAAAACTACTATTCAGGTGGTGAGGTAGTTTGCTGTAAATCTCTGTTGTAGCACTGGTATCTTTTAGTAGTGCCAATCTCGAATTTACATTTTGTTGTTCTTCTAAACGAGTATTCAACCCTATAAGTAACCGATTAATACCATCACACTTTTGTCACTCTC